AGCATCCAACCCCAAGAGCAAGCATCATTTCTCAGTGCGTCTCCTCAAGTTCTCCAGGGAAAAGAAAGCTGCCAAGACCCTGGGAATAGTTGTGGGATGCTTCGTTCTGTGCTGGCTTCCATTTTTTGTAGTAATGCCTCTTGGTAAGTAAAGCAAAACCCGCTACATTTTACAGCACCTTTCCTGGAGGGAGGGCCGCGTTTGCACCTGCGTACAGTAATGCTGATCAGAAAAGCTCCGGGGGAATAATTTTCTATTGGAAAGCTGTCAAAATCAAAACATTCACAAAGCAGTGAATGTAAAAAAAAAAATGAAAGTCTCAAATGAAACAAACCATCTCTGAACCAGAGAGAAGCATACATTTCTGAAAAGAATGGAAAGTATTTAGTGCTCTCTTTCCATATAGAAAATACTCCTTCGGAACTAGGACTGTTACTTCTGACCTACTCTGCTATAGGAACAATATCTTTAGGGGTGTCTGTGTTGATTTCTAAGTTCACAGCCTGTTCAGTTCTTCAGGTGATATAAATTTGAAAAAGGTCAAGATATATCTATATTCAGGGCCAAAGCAGCTGTTTACAGACTTGGGGCCAGATCTCCTGGAGTGCCCAGCACCTGATAATTCCCACCAGAAGGAAAAAAAAAATCAGTTTCCTACCAGGAAGTTCACACTATGAGATACCATACTCCAAATGAAATGAATGTATTTTTTTAATTTATCATATGACCAGTCAGAAGACAGCAGTGAGGATCCTTCAAACTAGTTTTATACTGCTCCAGCTTGCATCTATCGTAGAAACCCACAGAGTCCACTGGCCAAAACACTGGCTTCAACCATCGTGTTGAATATGAATATTTATTCACCAGTTTTAATTCTAAAGGGGAGGAAAGTCAGGGATTTGTTCTGCTTTGCTATCACTGAAATATAAAGAAGTAATTAGAATTTTAATTAAACCTTGCTCAGTCACCTTTGATGCGATTTGAGGACTTAAAGCAGAATACTAATTTCATACCTATATCACTGTGATGTATGTGGCACATCACACTGAAGTTTGCTCTGCAACAGCTGCACTAAATATTAGGTTTTGAAACATGGAGCCTTACATCTGACTTGCTCAATTTCAATGGCTTTTCTTACAGAAAGGGCTTATGCTGTGTAGGAAAAATAAAGTAAGATTGTGTGAAAGTTTTAGCTAGTAACAGATCAATGTGTACAATTAAGAGAAAATAAGACCAGCCTTACCTAAGCATGCAAAGAAAGATTTGGGGATTTCTTTTTTAATTTTTTTTTTTTAAACTGATAAAAAGCTGGGTTTTTACAATTAACCTCTACTGGATTTACCAAGATTATCCGGTTGCTTCACCAAAAACCTGTCACTTATGTTGCCATGTGAAAAACCCAAAGATACAGAATCTTTTCTGATGGTCGGTACTGAGAAGTGCTGGAGTAAGAGATGTAGATGTTTCATAAGGAGGAGCCCTGAAAAGCCTGGCTCGTGCTGTCCAGGATGTCAGCATGTTGGAATGCTGGTTGCCAAGATGTCTGAAACATACCCAAAAAGGGTTTGCAAGAACACATTAAACACACTTCTTTTCATTTACAAATGTGGTTGCCCACACAGAGCTGTTGTTAATTAATTTGCTTTGGATTTAAGACATTTTCTGGACTCAAGAGTGGCTTTGCATCTTTCTTTGATCCCTTAAAAGGAAACCTTCTTGAGGTTAGTTTCCCTATCTTTGTGGGGTTACTATGTTATTTTTAAAACATAAAATAAGTCTTTCAAAACCTATTTGCTACTTTTGTTTAAAGACAAAAAAACCTATTCAACAGACAAGTGGCACAAAATAACACGTCTTCAAAAAAACCAAGGACACATCTTGAGGCAGATTGTCCCACCCAGAGGCAATTGCATGTGGCACTCTACACCTGTACCGTGCAGAACACTTTCCAAAAGTGCTCCATTGTCCAGTAACCATTGTCAGATCTATTCTGCAGGCAGGTGAAGGCGCATAGGGATGTGAAGTGATCCGGCCAGGATCACGTATCAGATTCGTGGCACAGATCAAACTTTTCAGCTATACAGAGCACTGTTGCCAAAACCGATGGCAGCTGTGGAGTTCACAACACAGCTGGCCAAGGAATGAGAACTTTGTTGTGCAGAAGACCAGGTCTGCACCTTTGTGGCTATGGGGCAGACCTATAAATGGTGCCATCAGCTGCAACAGCTCATTGCAGTCATTTGTAGGAGTCATAGCCTTTTAGAAGCATGCCCTCAATGAAGGTCACCCATGAGACAGACATTCTCAAACTGTGCTACGCAAACCACTTCAAACAACTGGCAGGTGCTTGCCACTCTACACAGCAGAAGTTCCCAAACCATAAGTTTATTTTACTGTGATCTACAGCATCTTCAAGATCCCCACATCTATTAACATCAACCCTACCAGCTAAGAACTGAGGTAAACCAGGAAAAACCAGGCTTGTTACAAGTGTATAATAAATGGAGGTAGAAACTTTTGGGGTGTAGGTATGGGAAGGGCAAAAGCACTACAAGGATATCAAGAGGTGGATAAAGGCATGACATACATATTGATAGATGCTGCTGAAAGTAACTGGAGAAACAGTTTGAGTATCCTTGCCATAAGACAATATCTTAATTGAAATCAGCATGTGAAGTTGCCAGTTGCAATCTGTGTAAGTGATGTCTTTCTTACCTTCTTAGATGGACGGAGTTTCACTCCAGACAAAGGGTCTGTGCAAAGGTGTTCATTCCAATAGTCCAATACACCTTCTTCTCACTTGGCTTTGACATTTGTGGAGTAAGCCAGGGAATGATAATCCTGTTGCATGAAGAGAACTGAGGTTAAGATTTGTTTTTTCTCTGCATGCTGGAGTGCAAACCCACCCTGCACAAAACTTCTGTAAAGTAAGTGTGTCAAAACAACTGGTTTCCCCTGGAAGAAGTCAAGTTTTCTTTTCTGAATGCACTTTCTCTCCCTCTCTAGAGGTGACCAATGGATCTGCTCCTCCTAGTCTCAAAGCTTTTCTGTAAAAGCTTCTTTGAACTCAACATATCTTCACATATTGTTTAACAAAGCCTTCCAAGTCAAAGCTCAAGTGTGTCCCAACTAGATCTGCAGTCATTGCATTCCCCTAATTAAACTCTGTTCCTCTGTAGACACATATAACTTTCCTAGTGCAACGAAAGGTCCTTTTCCATAACAATTTAGGGAAGGCTTAGGGCAACTGAAACACACAGTAAGAGGCAGCAACAGGCACCTAAATAGGAGTTTAAATAGAGCTGTTTAAATGAGAACTGTGAGGTCCTTTGTCTATGCCCATTAGCCTCTGTACATGACACCTGTCCGTAGTGAGCTCAAATTCGGTCTCTGCTCCACAGCAGCACAAGTCTGATGGTGTAAAGTGCTTCTTATTCTGCAGGCCTTCCTTTGAATTGCTATTATATGAGATAAGCTGTAAACCCAGTGCTGAAATAACTTTACTGGGGGAATTCTGCACAAACTCTTCCCGTAAATGTCATTGCCTAAGATCAGTCATGTCCAACACTTTAGCCCTAGTGTTAGGTTGTAAAGAAAGACTGGTGTCCATGTACATCTACAGCCCTCTGCAATTGCTTCCAAAGCAGAAGGTTTTCAGATACATTCACCAAGCTTTCCTCATTCTACACTAGGCATCCACCTTTCTATAAGGGTAAGTATAGAAGGGATATATACAACAGCAGGAAATGTTAATCTTCTGAATAGATTACTTTCCTGTTTAGGAGCTCTAATTGCTTTCACTGACTGCCACTTGTTTAGTACAGCTCTTTGCTCCAAGCAGACTATGAGAGCATCCTCCCCCATCCAGGTAGTCTATTATTCAGCCCTTCAGAGAAGGTAGCTGGAAAGGATGGTTCCCTGTTCACTTTAGGGCTATTGCTCTCACTACCATCTTCCCCACCTGCTGCATCATTTCTTAACATCTTGTTTCTCTTCTGCAACACTTAATCACCGTAATCCCAACTGCTAGCCACTTATGAGTCCCCTGAGCATGCCCCTTTAACATCCCCTCACGTTAATTTGCATGGCAAGAATAGCTTTAAAAGCTTTTTAGTGCTGACCTTTGCACTTTGGTTACCCCATGCTCGGCTCCTTTCTTGAAACGTTACTGCACTAAAGTACTCCATTCAAATAGCTAGGAGGAGTACAAGCCAGGCGTCACAAACAGGGGATTACATACGTCCTGTGCGCTCCTTTACATGAGCATACTGCTTTACTGAAGGGAATCGATGATTTAGCTAGGAGGACTAACAGGTGACAGAGCTGCATTTTTGTTTTGTACATTAGTCAAAGCCTTCTTATCACTGTTTGTTTTGTTTGCTGGTTTTTTTTTCCCCAGTGAGCTATAAAGTGAAGCCCTGGTTTTCTTCCCAAAGTTCTTTAAGATCTTGGTGGGGAAAAAACCAACAAGAAAAAGCCCTTAAATAAGCAATACTGCTTTTTCAAATTGGAGCAACCATAGTCTCTTAGGCACCAGCAAATAGGGACTACTTGAAGCTGAACTAGAAACCTGAGAACAGGCTCCTAGAGGAACTTGAGCATCAAGGCACAGCAGGAGCAGGGCTGCTCCAGGAGGGAGGACAACCCAGGAACAGAGGGCGACAACAGCACAGGCAGGAGCCATGCCCTCCCCAAAAGTGTGCGTTCACCATACCTGAGCAGAAGCAGGCAGAGGTGGCATCTATGAGTGGTTCAGCTGACGGTCCAGTAGTCACCAGACAAACACAAACCAACAAAAAGAGCCAGGAAAGACCAAGCCTGAGCTTACCTACATCACTCAAAGAGGGACAAGGAGAAGAGCCTGACCTTATATGCAGCTCCCAGGCCAACGGGCAGAGGGTTTGTGGGTAGAGGCCACAGATGAGGCTCATCTGGGCAATTAAGGCTTGTTGGGCCCTGGCACTCTGCAATAACAGCCTGCCACACACCATGTTTCTTCCATTTCTGGTTTTTGTTTTCCTCTCGCAATTGCTAGAAAGCAATATAGGCAGATATAGAAAGAAATACTCAGAGCTAGAAAAGTCTGGAAATTCAGTGCATGCCTGTAGTGATGACATCAGTTTTCAAGGTGATGCTGAGGCTG